TTGTCCTCTCTTCTAGTTCATCCCAGTACTCTACTGCTCTCCTCGTATGTGGTATGCAAATAGAACCACCTACAAGATTAGCTACAGAAAATACTTCATAAATTTCATCTGTAGTTACTCCTAATTCATGACAAGTACCCAAGTGATATTTGATACAATCATCACATCTCAACACCATAGAAGCCACTAAACCCAAAAGCTCTTTTGTCTTTTCGGAGAGCGCGCCATCTTGGTAGGCTTGATTATCTAAACTAAAAAATCGTTTTAACACCTTATTATCCTGAGCCAGAATACGCTCATTCATTTTGGTTCTATACTCGTTAAATTCGTTTATTTGAGACATAATCTTTTGTTTAAAATTAAATATAATGGTGATCTCAGAATAATTTACACCCTATCAGATGTATTAGTGGTACGCCAAAAAGAGATAATCATCCTAATGGGAATCATCGCTATGGTAACTAGTGCACCCACACAAAAAAACATAAATTGATATCTGATGTACTTGCCAAATTCGTAATCACTCATATCGCTAGAACCTTTAAATAAGCTAATCGTACCATCTTCATCTAGAAAACGTTGGAATTCGTACAATGAATCTATATGATACAAAAATAAAGGTATCGGCAGAAAAATAAGCATAAACTTAAACCACTTCACCCTTGCAAATGGTGTAAAAGAAAGCAAAAAGATATACCTAGACAATGTAAGAAATACTATGATACATATAAAATTCTGTATATAAAATGCATATAAATCTCCTACCTTCAGATAAATAGGTGCAATTATTAAAACTGCGAAAAGAATGGCAAAGAGCCAAGACAACAATTCAAAATTCCATTGTTTTTGCATTAGAATGCTTTATTTTGGGCAAAGATAGTAATTAAACTGCCAAATGTATGGAAGAAAATAAAGGTATATTTAATGTAACCCGATTAAATTCGTGGCTTAATAGCTTATCCATAAAATTGTCATCAGAATGTTGTAAAAAATAAGTTAACATCATTTTTATGTGATAAAATGGAACTAATTACCCAATAATTTCGGTTATAAAAATAATTAAAGCATAGAATATGAATGACGAAAATTTTGTAACCATTAGATCATACAAAGATCCCATTATTGCTGATATCATGGTAGCGACACTTCATAATGCTGGCATTGAGACGTTTACCACAAACGAAAGTCAAACCTTGTTACCCTTAGAAAATGTGGAAATTAAAGTTAAAAAATCCGATGTAGATCAAGCCCTTGAAATCATAGAAGAGCAAGAAGCACTTTAATTTATCTCAGATAATAAGTTAATACTAACACTATCGGGACAAACTTGTCATTAACTCAATGCAGTAGGTTTTGACTTTGCTTTTGTATTTTCTAGTTGGACCAAATGCCTCCTTATATGGTTAATAAAAAACTGGAAAGTATCTCCTAACTTTAGTTTTATAAATTTAGATATTGAAATATCGATTTTAACCTTGTTTAAACTTACATTTCTAGATTTTTGAAGCAAATCAAGAAGTTCCATTTGTTGGTTCATGCATGTATCAATTACTGTTTGATCAAGCTGCGCATTCAAGGGATTTTTATCTTTAAAGGCCGCCATTTTATTTAATTTTTCCTTTGGTGCCATGCTTTTTGCAAAATAGCTTCCCAACCAACCACTTTTGAATTCAGTATCCGCGTTGGTGTTTGATGTTTTTATCTTTGATGCTATCTCTGGAAGATAAAAGTCTCCATATCTATTAATGTGTTCTATACATTCTAGGATATTCCATGATGTTGGGTTTTCTCTCCAAGTCAAAGTGCTTAAGTCATCATTTCGAAGCCTTTCTAATTGATTGATAATGACTCTTGTCTGTTCTATGAGTGTTTGTATTAAAACTTCTGATTGCATGTGATTTTATTTGCCACAAAGGTCGACATAAAACTTTGCTAAAATCTTGATCGAAATCAAGATTTTTTTAACCGAGACAGCGTTTCAGGACTCATTCTTAGATAATTGGCAATGTATCTATTAGGTATTTCTTGAAAAAGTTTTGGACTTCGTTTAAGGACACGGCGATATCTTTCTTTTGGAGAACTAGTTAGGATATCAATTTCTCTTTCCATTTGTTGCAACACTAAGTCTTCCAATATTTTTACCCATAATAAGTGATTTTCATCTTTATTTAAAAAGCTATCCATTTGTTGTTTTGTAATGACCTTGACTGTTGATTTTTTGATTGCTTGAATGTAGAAGTCAGAAGGCTTACCAGTTAAATAAGCGTCTAGAGCTACAATAATATTGCCCTGATAACCGAATCGAATAACTTGTTCTTCACACTCATCAAGGATAAAAACACTCAAACTACCACTATCTATATAATAAATGTTCGTATCAACACTACCTTTGACTTTCAAAAATTCATTCCTTTCTAAGGTTATGGTCTTTTGTGAGAGTGCTATTATTTCTTGCATTGGGAAGGGACTTCTTCTTTTCAGTTACAAACAAAAAGTTGACCACCTTTAAAAATAATCATATCTAATTTCTATTTTTTGATTACGATTTGCATTCATCACTTCTAAGATGATTAATCCACGATCATCATAAAAATATTCTTTGCGTTGAGATTCTCCCTTTTTAATTTCCATTTTCCTATTTGCTAATTGCATAATGGAGTTGCCACGTCTAAAGAAATGCTCAGAAACTTTCAATCTATTCTGATCATCAAAAACTTCTCTATCAATGATTTGGTCTTCTTCGCCATTATTGGAAACAAGATAGTTTTCTATGGTATATGGGTCTGATTTATAAATGTTTTTGTAATTTTTAGTTTCCGTTTTACCTTTGGTTTTATCTTTCAACTGAACTGTTTCTACCTTTCCCTCTGCATTGTTCAGAAAAAATCCGACCTTTGAGGTACATGCCCTGGGAATACAAATTTTGGGGGGAAACGTTTTTCTTAAATATATTTTTATGACAGATGAGGATGGCATTCAGATAGTCAACTGCATGTCCTGGGTTCGGTGGTGTAGTAGTAACATACCTGACTGGCAATCAGGAGTTCCGGGATTCAATTCCCCGGCCATTACTAAGCTCTCATTTGGCCTTTTTTGCCTTCCATGTCCCGTTACTCATTCCCCCTCCATATCATTATTTTTGCCGGAGTAAAACGGAGAGAAATGGAAAGCTGAAATCTGCCTACCGAGACGGTGATTTCAGGAAAAATGCAAAATTTTAGATCCATGCCCTGGGGGTTATTTCTTGGCGCTGTCGTTTTCAAGTATTTTTTTTGTCCTGGCATATTGAGCTAGTGTGGAAACATGAAACTTGGCACATAACTACCTATTGGAATGCTGCAGAAAAATTCAGACTTTGAAAGTAATTGCTCCGGGGGCACAAATTTCAAATGGAGATACATCCCCTAGGGGACATTTTTCGAGGTGCGATGTTTTGAAAAAAAAAATTGGCGTGCGAATTGGACAGAAATGGAAAGGTGAAACTTGGCTGGAAACTTGGTATAAGTGACATAATATTACTGAGCTGAGGGAGTATTCAGCTTTCATGGTTCATCCCCTCCGGGCATAGCGCTTGGTTGAGTCGGCTTTTCCAAACATGTTTTTTCACCAGCGAAAAGTGTAAACGTATAATATTCAAACTTTGTGGGCATGTAGTTCACTGAGGATGGATTTCGGTAATAAAAAAATGGTACGTTTCGGTTAAAACGGCTCAGGGCACATATTTTGAAAAGGCGTATTTTCACGAATTTTCTGATCCAGCAAAACAGAGGGCGCATAAAAGTTAAAAAACTTGGCAAATAAGTACCTAATGGATAGCTGCGTTAAGAAAAAAAAAGTAGCTATTCGCATGCTGAGTTTAGGAAAAGTTCTACTTTGTTGATGCATGCCATAGGGGCGAACCTTTTGGGGAACGTATTTTCAAATAGTTCTCTTTGCCTCAAAAGGAAACACATGGAAATCTGAAAATTGGCAAGAAAGTGACAGCTGACGCACTGAGCTCAAATGTCTAATTCAAATTTCCAAAATAGTTTTGGGATTCATATTGCTTGAGGACGCAACGTTTTTAAATAATTGTTCATATCCTACCGAATCGGGCAGAAATAGAAAAGTAGCTGGCGCACGCATAACGGACGTGATGTTGATTTAAGGAAAAATTCAACTTTTGTTGTGCGTCTCCTCAGAGCACAGCTTTTGGGTAAGTCGCTTTTACAAATACATTTGTAAAAGTCTACAACTCTCAGTCTACGAGTCTGCATTTGAAAAGGAAAAAAAATCCGTTAAAACCCATCAGGGCACTTTTTCAGTCCCATTTTCCTGAATTATTTTGATCCAACGAAACAAAGACAGAAATTATAAACTTCCGTCAGAAGTATCTGCTTAATGCTGAGTACAGGACAAATCCTACTTTTGCAATATATCTTTTTAGCGTAGATTATAGGAGGGAAGTATTTCAAAATGTATACAAAATGGGACACAAAAAAGTTAGGCACACATACAGTAGAAGCATAGAAGTAATGATTTTGATAAAAATCAAGACTTTCGACCCCATATGTCACGTATTTCAATGGGGACTTACTTTAAATACATGTTTCCCATTTCGCAAAAAATTAATGAATTAATCACTATCCAAGGTAAAGGAGCGCCGAAGGCGCGACCATAACGAGTTTGTTTGCCCGAAGGGCAAACAAACTCGCTAGTATCATATACAGTATGTATGCCCGCGATGAAACAAGAAAGAGTATCTCATGTGCCATGGGGTGGTACATTTTACATATACGGTATGGACTCGTATTATGAAATGTAGTGCATACAATGCCTTGCAATTTTTCAATGCAGAATAGGTCGTTAACATATAGAATGTCATCGTTCCCGTTTTATGCGCAATATCGGGCATTGCAACTGTAAGTTCTCAATTTTTCCGCAATATACCGCTGAGTTACCTAACAGAGCATTATGTTATTGAAAAGGAGACTTGTAGAAGAGGTACAAGCAAAGACTGCCTACTTACTTCGGCTGAGAGGTGGTAATCCAGTCAGGTGCCGATCCAAGGCCCACAACAGGGCTACTGTGTGGTAACCCCAATACACATCCACTTTCCCTTGAAAGAGAACTTTCTTAAAAGAGGGTATGACCTGAGCCTCCCCATACACTTGGGGTAGCTTCTCCATCGGCATCCATACATCTGAGATACAAGGAAGAAAATGATCCACGCCAATGAATGATTACTCAGGAGAGAGGAGCACCAAAACCTTAACAAGAACTTTCAACAACATTCACATATAACCACACCTAAACAAAATACGTCAACCATGCCAATATCACCTTATACACTACCTTTCCAAAAAGTAGAGGTCAACTCGTGATCATGGCCATTGCTTCAAATATAAAATTGAGTTTATTGCATTGGACCCTCCTTGGTATGGATGAGTCAGAGGTATTACTGAAGCTCAACTGAACTCCTTAGAAAATTACATAAAATAACCACGCCCTATTACAATGCGGTAAGCCCCATTCGACCAGACATCTTGCTATTAACTGATGTTCCAGACAGTAGGGGGGTCCTATATGCTTGTTGCCTTGCACTCACAAGGTAACTATGGCACTATGCTATTACAATATACTAGCGGCCTTCTACCCGTGCGTATAGGTTTTTGTTACTGCTCATCAACATAAATAGGATTAGCCTGGTTCCCGCTATTAACCCTTTCCGGTCTTTTTACTTTTCCATGGACACCTCCGCCAGGTCCGATCATCTTTCGGATGACATCCAAAATTTAGCTACCAGAGCTTTCAGGGTCTAGAAGAAAAAATCTTATGATCACGTTCCGTTCAGTCCCATCTGAGCCCTGTGTTCTGGTTTCTGTCCCGTTCCAAAATAATGATTAGTTTCCTTATGTTCCGTTCCAGGAAATACTAACATTTATTTTCCATTGCTCTATGTTTCTCTCCATTTTTCGATGTGGAAATTTAGCAAAACCGAAAATT